GCAAAGTCATCACAGCGGGCCTTTGAGGGTGGAACCGGATCTTCCTTAGGACCCGGGCGAACCAGGCCTTGCACCACTCGAAAAAGCTCCGCCGGACGGCATTGTGAGGAGGCAATGGAAGCGGAAAAAAACTTCTTTTTCGCCGCCTTCACTGCCACAGTATAGGCCTGATAGTGGGCTTTCAAGTGTGTTCGGTCAGATTCATCCCGTGATTTCCTCCACCTATGCTCTAGCCGTCTCCCCACCTGCTTCATCGCCCGCAATTCAGGTGTATACCAAGGGGAAGAGCGAGCTCTGCCCGGTGGGAGAGGACGCTTAGGAGCGATCGTGTCCACAGCCCTGGTCATCTCCCTGTTCCACAGATCGACCAGAGCCTCGACAGGAGCACCAATCTTGTCAGCCGGAAATTCCCCCAGGGCTTTCAGGAATCCATCCGGGTCCATCCGGCTCTGGGGGCGGACCCACACAATCGGATCCGCACCCTTACAGAAGGAGAGGTCACTCTCGAGCACAAACCTCACCAGGAAGTGATCTGACCATGACAGGGGAGTCAAACATAAATTTCTCACCCTCAGGTCACCCTCTTCCTGCCCCGTCGAGAAAACCAGGTCCAGAGTGTGTCCACGTTCATGGGTCGGGCCGGAGACATGTTGAGACAGCCCCATGGCCGTCATGGAGGCCATGAAGTCCTGAGCCGCCCCAGTTAGACCAGACTCAGCATGGAGATTGAAGTCCCCCAGGACCAACATCCGAGGGGTCTTCAACACCAGGTCCGAGACGGTCTCCATCAGCTCAGATAGGGAGACTGTTGAGCAGAAGGGTGCACGGATGTTGAATGCTTTGGCCTGCTTGACCATTTTTCATTTGCATAAGTTGCAAATCTTTTGAGTTTGCTGCTGCTAGTATTTGATGTTTATAAAGCAAGAGCAGTGTCCTAAGCGCTCAAAAATAAAGAGGTCTTAGAAACTACAAAAAACAGCAAGGAAAGAGTAAAGGAAATAGAAACCATTTGAGAGAGAAATAACGAAGTTGGGACAGGGTAGATTTAGCCAGTAATATAAAAGGGAGACTGTAGTGAAATAGCACAGATGTTGAAATATTGCTTTCTCAAGAGGTATGGAATTTTTCCAAGAGACAAGGAGTGTACAGTACAAGCAGTATCACATACGAAGTCTGTCTTGGCTCCTAGTCTTTTCTTCTGATCTTTATGGAGAAGTCCTTGCAGGATATCACAAGCTGCTATGGTCTTGGTTCCTTGAATCTGAAGTGGCTTGTGCAGAATATTGTCATACATCTGAGACACATCCCGGCTATAAAATGGAGGCTGACAGCAGAGAACGGTCACAGAGGGGAAGGGTCAGTTGCATAAGCAAACTGTTTCTTCACATGCAGTTTCAGAGAGACAGACATTTAGGCTGATTGTATTTCTGCAATTTAACAGGAGGTTCCAGGGAGGAAAGCGAACCCTTCTATCTTAAAAAAGTTAACCTACTGTCATGCAGTGATGGTTCCAGGTTTTTGTGGGGGCCCAGACAAGAAACACTTAGTGGGTCCCTCCCTCAACAGGTCTGTCTTCCCGCCATCATTGTTACCAGCTCCTCATCTCCTTTCTTAGAATTGCTACCACTTGCTTGCTCGATAGGCAGAGAGCCATTGAGCAAGTAGGTAGCACCATCTTCTGCTCCTCCTCCTCACCAGTGCCACTGCCTGGACCAGAACAAAAGGCAGGCGAGCAAGCCATATGCAATGGTGAAGAGGAGGAGCAATGCCAGGGACTCCTGTCCATGGCCCTTGCTGGGATGCGAGCTCTCTGCAGCTGCCCATCCACACCTACTCTTGGTTCCAACCCTACTCCTATGGATTCTTTCAAATCACAGCATTAACAGTTCTGTCTGTTGCTTCGCTATGTTGCAGTGTGCTGCTCTGCCATATTGATATAACCTTGCCCCATCTTGCATAGATGCCCCCCACAGCTGTGATCCAGATATTATGTCACTCACAGACCATGAAACAGTTCTCTACACTGGCCAGCACAAGCAGAAGAGCCACCAACAGGATAGTATCAACAGCTGTCGAATTGCCTGTAACTTGCTTTTAAGACTTCAGCTGTGCCTGGGGTACACTTGAACTCAGCTGACCCCCCTAGTACACAGGGCTAAATGAAACAAGACGGGAGGGTAAGGCCAGGATCCAGTAACAGTTCTTCCAGAGTCAGAAGTTGGTCATTGTAAACTCATCTGGCGTTAATCAGTCTCTAGTTAAAATGGGTTGGCAGGCATTTATATCCCTCTAAAAGCCTTGAAAGCCACAGTTCCACTGTTCCTCTGCCCTAAAGAAATATGCTTGTGAGCATCTGGGATGGGAAGCCCCTCTCAAACTGTTTACAGTTCTTAGAAGTATCGCCTGCTTTAAAAGTGCCAGTTTTTAAAAGCTTACCAAGCCAAACAGCATTTCATAGAGCACTGCTCCAAGGCACCACCAATCTACTGTTCTGTCATAAGGCTGCTTCTTGAGGACCTCTGGAGCTAAATACTGAGGAAGGAGAAGGCATTTTAAAACAACTTCAACATAAAACACTACCAGCAAAGAATTCTAGTAACTTTCTAAGAGTCAAATATGAGTGCTTGTGGCCAAATGGGCAGCATTTGGCCACAAAAATGTATACTGTTTTCACAGAGTGGTACAGAGGAGGAAAAAGGAATGGGATGAAATTAAACCCAACCGATTTAAAATTAAATGGAACAATTTTTTTCCTGATCACAGCTGCCCCAATTTTGCATGATGGTATGCCCAAGCTGCATCTTACATTCAGTTCTGGATGCACCATTTCAGTGCTTATGACTCAGCACAGAATTCTAAACTGCTTCAACTTAGGATACATAGTTCCTACACAACTGACAGAGAGATGCAGAAGCCCAACATTGGCTCTGCTAGTCTTGCAAACTATATAGCAGGAGTTACCCACACCAACTGTGCTGCAGTTGCTGTTTAAATTACACTGCAAAAGATTCAGTTCCGGGAGTTACTACTGTTCCATCAAATTTCACAAAAAGCACATTACAACCTATCAAACCAGGAATTAAAAAAATGAAGCACATCTATATTCTCCAGATGTTTAAAATGAATTTCTGCTAGTTGTTTTGTCTGATTCATCACTGCAGTCTTTTGAGGAAAAAATGCTGAAAAATTGTTCCAGTTCTTTCTTCCTCCACTATAATAAAAATGAGTAAATCAACTTCCACCTTCAAATGTATTTCAAGTGAGCAAGGTCTAAATCTTCAGAAGTGGTGAATATTCAAATTGACCATTTTAATTCTATTTGTAAGTTCAGATTTGTTATTTCAAGGAAAAGTGGATGAGTCAGTGTGTGCTCTAAGCTTATGATAGTGGCTTGTCTGCAGATCCCAGTTTGGATAGCACACTAAACGCATTGCAGATGGAGAGACTCTGACTTATTTAGCTGTTCCCACTAGCAGAATGTGCCAAGCTGGAGCAATGCAGCTTCATCCACCAGAATGCTAGCTAGTTCATAATTGTTTTAGCCACTGCAATATCAGTAAGTGCCATAACATGTAAGCCTCCAGGACTGGAAACTACACTGAATGAAGCAGTTCAGCCTTACTTTGGTTGCTCAACAGTATTGCTCAGTTCCTTGGAAAAACAAAATGTGGCAGGGGAATCATCCATTAAAAATGGAAATAAATTTGATCTTTCCCTGCCATACCTCTGGGGTGCCACAGAAAGTAGATGTTGTTTCTTCTGGCTCCATTCCTTCTTTGCAAAGTCCAAAATCTGTTAGTACAATATGACCCTGGCAGAAAGGGAGAAATGTCAATTTTCTTGGAACATTTCATTCCAAATTTGATTCAGCTGCCCAAGTCTAATTATAACACTTATCCTAATAACAGATAAACATTGACAATATCACAGGAGAATGCAATTATTCGAATTTTGGAAGTCTAATAAAAATATACCAATTTTGTAACTGAAATAAAAATACGCAATCTGTAGATATTCTGTACATCTACATAATATCACCTAGAAAAATAAAAATTCTCTCTCTCTCTCTCTCTCTCTCTCTATGTGTGTGTGTGTGTGTGTTGCATGCTTACACACTCCTTAGCTCTACCTTTGGTGCAGAGTGTTTTTACCCTTTCTCATTGTGCTAAATAACATAAAATATTCTACTGTATTCACTAAAAATAATCTTTTTTTTTTTTTTGCTTTTGAAACAAGTTTTCCCAAGTACATAACATAACCAATTTTTGTACGGATAAATACCATCCAGAGAACAAGCACAAGAAAGCACACAGGTGCAGATCTGTAAATATGAGAGGTAAGTCTCAGATTATCTTTTTATTATGTAAACAAACTAATGTTCATCCTGTGAAAAGAGTGCACACATATAATATTAGGTTTGTGTTTAAGTATTGCTAAGGCTTGTCACTGGAGAAGGATCAGGGTGAGAGAGACACCGAATTCATCCATCATGCTGACATGACATGCATATATTTTGTGCTTTGATATTCATACTCCGGTACAAGAAGCAGGAGCTAGACATTAACTATCAAACCTCAACTTTCATTATGGTGACACTTTTAATTTTAACATACACACATGCAGAGAAAAACCCACACCGCAATAACAACATACCTGACAATCCAGGAGGATATTTTCAGGTTTTAAATCCCTAAGAAAAGTGGGAGAAGAAACAAGAGGCACTTTAATTTATTTTCAATTCCTAGGGCAAGCTTCCTATTTTTAAGCACTTAAACATATCTGCAAAAAGAATTACATCATGCAGACTATAAGAGGGAAGATAAGTTCACAGTTATCTTTCCCAAACCGATGGAATCAGTTCATTCAGATGATCATTTTATTTCCAAGCATCTCAGTAGGAACCATTACTTTTAAGTTTAATTCCTTGTTTGTATTCAAACTCTGTTACATTGTATTAAGTCCCACTTACAAAATATTTTAAGTAGTAAGTCAAGGCTTTGGGTGCATCCAGGCATAAACACAGCGGAAGTAAACTCACTGCTTTTTAATCATACAAATTACTGAGTTTCTGGAAAACTGGTCCTTGCCTGTTTTATGCAGAAATGGGTTATGTGCCCCTGCACTGATTGGTGGGGGACTGTGAAGTCACACATCTATGTTGCCAAAAAAATTGAGTGGTTTCTGTTTTGCTTTTAAGGTAACAAATCTTAAACCAAGAAAACTTGCAAGCAGTGTTTATTTTTCAAGGAAAAAAAGACACACCCTGCTTGAAGCATGGAAGGAGGAGAAAGACATGAGTCAGTTGGTATTTGGTTTGCTGATAAGTAAATCTATTGAAAGCACTAACAAGGCATAGAGAAATAGGGCTCACTTCAACCAAACAAAGCCAGATCTTTTAAAAAACAATGTATGTTTTTAAGGGATTACAAATAAATGGCCTGAATCATAATTTAAAATTACTGTACCAGAGGTGGTAGACTACAAATAATATCAAAATAATCAAATAGTTGGAAGATTCAATGGCTTTTGGAGGGTGTTTGACATACTACATTCGACATCTTGAATGTAAGAACATTCTGGCAAATGATTTGCAGCCTAGTATTAACTTTGCAGTAGTTTTCAAACGTTTTCCCCTTCTTTCCACTGAATTCAGATGTCACACTAAACTTTACTTAAAAGTAAAGGTAAAGGTTTCCCCTTGATGTTAAGTCCAGTAATGTCTGACTTTAGGGGGCGGTGTTCATCTATGTTTCCTAGCCGAAGGAGCCAGCGTTTGTCCACAGACAGTTTCTGTGGTCATGTGGCCAGCATGACTAAACTCTGAAGTGCACAGAATGCTGTTACCTTCCCACTGATGTGGTACCTTTTTATCTACTTGTATTTGCATGCTTTCAAACTACAAGGTTGACAAGAGCTGGGACAGAGCAACAGGAACTCACCCTTTTGTGCAGATTCGAACCGGCAACCTTTCGATCAACCAGCCCAGCAGCACAGGAGTTTAAACCACTGTGCCACCTGCATCCCCAACTTTACTTAGCAAGCTATAAATTTAATAAATATTTTCTTACAACAAGCTCAAAGTGGCTTATATCATACTTTACCTTCTGCTCTCAGTCTTATCCTCAAAACAAACCTGTGAGGTAGGATGGGATGAGAGTCTGTGACTGACCCAAAAGTCACTCAGTTGGCTCCATGGGCAAGGAAGGGGACTAGAATCCAGTTCGACTGAGTCCCAGTCCTGTGCTTTTAACCACTACAGCACCCTTCTCTTTTCTTTTTATGCAGCCAAGAGAAGTATTTAGGAAATGTTTATGTCTGGTTTTGTTTAAGCTCAGATCACCACATCATATGAATCTGGTATTAGGTTAATCTTACTTACAGTTCTCTTAAACAGCCAGGGTTGTAAACCTCAGCTTGAAGTTGGCATGTTTGAAAACAACCATAGTTAAGATTAACAGAAGGCTAGGTCTGGACAATACATAAACTGTGCGTAACCAAAAGCAAAAGCAGAAGGTTTTGACCTCCTCCTCTTGCATGGCTGTGAGAAGAAAGGGAGTAGCTGAGGTTATTCTCACTGATATTATGCAAAGCCAGGGGTGGCCTTAGGGTTGCAAGTTGCCCTTGGCCAAATTTCAAGCTCCTCTCACCCTAATTTCAAAATTCTCCTACCTGTGATTAAATCTCTAAGAAAAACATTCTGTTTCTTCCCCAGCTGCCTGTTGGTAGAAAGGAAGGAGGAGGAAGTGGAAACAAGGTAGGTGGGAGGGAGGGAGGGGTGGGAATCCATCAGTTTGTGACAGGCAGTGACCAACTGCTTCAGGTTTCCCCACAAGGGAATATGGGCCTCAGTAGAAAAAAGTCGCCCACTTCTGTTAAAACAGATTTTCATGTGACATCCAAATACACCAATTTGCTTTGGTCTGATTCACTAGAGCTGCCTGGTTTTTTTAAATTACAATATACTTTACCTATAGATGATATTCAGGGAATGGAGGTATCCCACTGCACTGGCCATCTCGGCTGCATAGAAGCGTGCTCGAGGTTCACGGAAGCAGCGCTCTCTTTGCAAGTGGAAGAACAACTACAAACAGATATGGGAGGATTTGAAACTGGATTTGAGCAAAGTGCATTTGTTCCCGTGATAGCATCCTTATCTGACTGAATCATAAGATCGAGTTAGAACTGGATGCCTTCGTAGGAAACAACTTCAGTATCCTACAGTTTCAGTCTTATGTCCTATTCCAAGACAACTCAGGACCCAAAGAGATAATACCTTAAAGACAAAGGTGCTAGCTAAGTCTTTATCCTTTTCTCTGCACTAGGCAAAGGATGCCTGATCCAGAGCTGAACTCCATCCGGGAGGCAGCAGATTTTCTGCTGCACTGTGGGCCCAATCCAGGCTAGGGGCCCCATGCCTGTAGTTTCTATTGCGAAACAGTGACCCATTGTTGAGGACAGGGTTAAAGGCCCTAATACCTGTGCTAGGATTCCAGTCTAGATCCTCTCCCCCAGCGCTACTCCATCTACTCTAGAATAAACAGACAGACTTAGCTGGCAACTGCTTCTTTAACCTTGATTATTTATTTTATATTTCCCAGGAAAATAATCATAGAGCACTTAGACTTAGAGCCCCTTATGTTCAGAAATAGCAATAATTTTAAGTTGTAAATTGTCTCAACTCAGTGAGATGGCAACTACTTACAGACGTAATAACCAGATCTGGACTTGTATTGAATCAGACAAAATATTGATGCCAATATTCTACTCAGTTTAGCTTGAAAATAAACCCCAGCACTACTGTACTGATTGACACATGTCCTACATGACAGAAGACTGACATGCATGTACCTCTCCTCCATTGACATAATCTAGTACGAAGTAGAGTTTCTCTTTGGTCTGGAAGGAATAGTGGAGCCCCACAAGAAATGGATGTTTCACATTCTTCAGTAGCACGTTTCGTTCTGCCATTATGTGGTTTTGCTGTAAGGAATTGAGAAGAAGAGGGAGTGGGGAAGGTGATTAAAGAGGTACACAAAGATTTAAAAACAGCTGCAAAACATAACATAGAATATGAGCTGAATATTGGTTGCTATTGAATTAAGAGATGAATTGTGGATTGTTGTCAAATTGTAGGTTGTCATCTACTCATAAAGGATACACCCAGAGTTCATAATGTTAACTACATTCCTGGTTAACAAGGTTAACAAGCGATGGTTAAAAATAGTATGGAGTTCACACAATAAGCCACAATTCAACTGCAATCCATACTTTGCCCATAGTGTTGTTACATGTGAACCAGGTCATTACAACTGTAGCATGGTAGGGAAGAGTTAAAGCTCCCTATGGTTTTTATTTATTTACTCAATCAATCTGTTTCTATACCACCCTATAGCTGAAGCTATGTGGTAAGTTCACACCATTTTTTTTGAAGTACAATAAAAAGAGATACACTAAAACACAGTATAAAGTCCAGTATACAAATTTAATACAGTCTAAAATTTGAATATACAAAAATTTAAAACAGCTTAAACTTTTAAAATGTTTTCAGTAAAACTAGACCTAATTAAAACAGCTGACATAATCCATCATATGTCATTAAATACCTGAGGGCAGCTTTAATTTCATTTGCCAAAAGATGGCAATGTTGCCATCAGGTAGTCCTTCGTGAAGAGGCCATCCCATAATCGGGTGGCCACCACTGAGAAGGCCCTCTGCATTTTTGCCTCTTTCCGGGCCTTCCTTGGAGTTGGCAGTTGGAGAAAGGACCCTAGATGCATCTTGTAGGAGCCAGATAGTCTGATCTTATGAGAGGCATTTCATCAGGTTTTGTGGTCCCAAGCTGTGTAAGACTTTGTAGGTTAAAACCAGGACCTTGAATTGACTTGGAAGCATTTTGGCAGCCAAGTAGGCCATAATGATCCAGGAAGGGGACATTTGTCATCAGCCTGGAGTTCTTTAGATCTTCTAGGTCCAGGGAGGACTTCTAGGGTAGCAGCCTCACTGCTGCCTCTTTCAGGTTGCCTGGGACCTCTCCGCCCAGCAAAGAGCCATTAATCACCTTCCTGGCCCAGCCAGCTGTTCCCTCTCGTGATGTAACAATGGCACATGCTAAAATACAGTGAACATTCACTACTTCTTTAAAAAGTAACACATGAAAGAAGTTTTGGTACAGATCTCTTTTGATGTTGCAAGTAAATACATTCTTTTTCAAAGATACCTCTTTTTTCTTGAGGATAGACTTCTTCTGCAAAACCTTTACAGCATAGAATCTTCCGTCAGACTTACGTTTTGCCAGAAGAACCTGTAGCCAATACAAGAGACCAAGGGAGTTAAAGAAGAAGTTTCTAGCTCCCATGCCCTCAACTAAATCAAAAATTCTACTTTTGCAAGGAAGTGACAGGTCAAATTGGTGGCTACCATACAGAGAAGCACTTGATTCAGTTAATCTCATTATACCAAGCAACAGATCCTTTTCCTATTTGGGGAAAAATAATGCAACTTTGAAAATATTTTTGATTTCATCCATCAAGAACAACAGCACTGGCTTGTGATGGAATAATCTACTGAATTTTATAAATGCTCATATGGCCGAGGTTGGAAGCAATAAAAGTTTAGCAGGGGTGAACTTTTTAAATGAAAATTTCCATTTAAAACTGTGAATAATATGAGTTCCATATAGAAAATAGGTCTTTTAAAGTTGAACCTTGACTACTGATCCAGTGCCTCAGGCTAGGACTAGAGAGCTATAGTTGAAATCCTCACTGAGCCAGTCTTTATATCCCAGCCTAACCTTTCTAATGGGATTTCTGTGAGAATATAATGGGCATGGGATAGAACCAGGTGTAACATTTTGTTCTCCTTAAAAAGCTTTAAACAATTAGCATGTCAAATGACTTAAAAAAGAGTCCCTGACAAGGTCTCCCTTAAATTTGGAAATAAAATGATCATGTGAATGAAAACATACACAGTCTCCCTGGAAATCTCTTTGTGACTGAAAATTTTGGAGTTTCCAAATTGGTGCTGCTTGGTGCATTTTTATACAGACACATGCTGTAACCCAAGAAAACATTTAGTCATTCATTTCATTTCTATACCACCCAGTAGCCAAAGCTGTCTAGGCAGTTTACAGCAGATCCTAGAAGCAGAACATAATACAATAAAAGCAACTGTAGCAATTTTCCACATAGAAGGCTGCTTTAAACTAGCACCTAAAGGATGGCAACATTGGCATAAGGTAGGCCTTGGTGGAGAGATCATTCCCCAGCTGGGGAGCCATCACTGAGAAGGTTCTGCCTTTATAGCTGCCCTCTGAACTTCAGAGGTGATGGCATTGGAAGAAGGTCCCAGATGCTGATCATAGTGTCTATGTAGGTGCAGCTGGGAGAGGCATTCCAGCAGGTATTGTGGTCCCAAGCCATGTAAGAACAGGCTAAAATCAGCACATTTAATTGCTCTCTTTTTCGAGATGGGGTTGCAGCTAGGCCACCAGCCAAAGCTGGTAGAAAGCACTTGGTGCCACTTCAGCCTCAGGTGACAACCCCTCAAGGACAACTCCCAAAGTTATGAAGCTGCTCTTCCAAGGGGAATGCAGCCCCATACAGAACAGCTGTGATTGGCAACATCCTCCATGAGACCCATTTTGTGGTGGTGCCCACAGCTGTTTCTCAAATTCCCAGATGTGGCTGTGGGTCCCAAAGATTGGGGAACCCAGCTTTACACAAACAGGTTTGGTCTTACATGGCATTCATATGGAAATGAACAGCTAGATAAAGAAGGGGCGGGGAGAAACTTCTGATTAGATCTCCAAGGTTCCCCCCACCCCACCCACAACAGATAAAGGTTGTTGTGTCCCCTCTGAATGCAGGACTCAGCCAGAGCATTGGTCCATGAAAGTCAGTTTTGTCCACATTGACTGGCAACCATTCTCCAGCTTTTCAGGCAGGAGACACACCAGCCCTACCGAAAGATGCCTTGTATCAATGCTGGCTGAGACATTTTCCTGGAAAGCCATGTTCTGTCCCACTGAGCTACATTTCTTTCTATGATTCAGTTTAGTGGCACTGTGGGAGGAGGGTAACCCTCTTCTTTGTGAATTTCTCTAATCCAAGTGCCTCCCAGGGGCTATTTGCTGAAGTGCAAAACATATATAAGTACTGTATATGTAACATGAAAGTCCCAGGAAGGTGGGGCTCCCCTATTCCTTGGAGTATATAGTTCCATTCTTTAAGGTGGGGGCAGGGAGCAGCAGAACAACCCTTGCAGGGAGGGGAAATCACAATTGTGAGTGCAAATGCTACACTCTGGATGCTAGTTCAAGACAAGCCAGAAGCTACCAATGAGAAGCCAGAGTGGAACAAGAGCTACCATAATGGTTGCCCAGAACAATCAACAAGGAAGTCTTCCACACTAGGCTACTTACTTTTCCAAAGCTGCCTTTGCCAATTACCTTTAGGAAGTCAAAATCTGTTGGTTTGGCACTGTTAGCAAAAGGAGACAAAGTAAAACAAATAAGGTCTTTTTCTTGGAGAGCTCAGATTTTCCCCAGTTCCTCTAGCCCCAGCAGGACCAGCACAAAACATTTTCTGCCTGAGATGGAGCTGTTTTCATCACACTTTCCATTACCCCTGCAAAGCTGGTGTGATGAGGGTTGTCCCAGATGAGGCTTTTGACAAACCATCAACCAGTGTCATTCACAGAATTTTACTAGGTTGGAGGGAGACCGATCTCATAATCTTCCCAGTACAGTCCTCCTATGTTTTTCCATCACCTGGTCCATCTTTTTCCTTACCAGAGAAAAGCAGTAAAGAAAAGGGTGGGGTGGGGGAGAGACAGAATTGCTGTATAATGCTTTCTGATTTGGCAGCTCTAGAAGCCACCATCTGAAGGCATCCTGGCAATTAAGTCTCAGTTCAGCATCCTGGCAATGGGGCTACTTCCTCCACAGCAGGTTAGTTACAGCAGCTACTTCCTCCACAGCAGGGGTGGGCAGAAGTTAAGATCTCTTGCTGTTTGGGACTTCAACTCCCAGTGCCCCTCCAGCAGGGTCAGTGGTCAGGCATGCTGTATGTTGAAGTCCAAAGCATCTTGAGACTTACTTTCTGCCCACTCTGTGACACAGAGGGACACAGGGCAGGCTCACATCCCTGCCTTCTATCACCATAGAGCATCTACTTCCTGATGGCAGCCCATTCCTCTGCAAAGCCAAGTAAAATTTTCAGGAATCACAACCTTTTCCCATACTCTTCTCCCTTCTTGAACTCTGCCCTATCTATTAGATGGCTTTTCTCCATGCTAAGGGTTTCTAGGTCATTGCTTAAGAGCTGTGTGTGCTGGTGTTGCCCAATTCTCACGGGGAAAAAATTTAAAGTAAAAAACCAACCCACCCTCAGGACTTTTCCAGATAACCCATTTTAGGGTAATAAATAGAAGGCTACATAATTATTACTGGAATCAAGTCAGGAAGTGTTCTCTTGAGGCTGTTCTTTCATTGCACTAATATCTTTTTCCCAGCACTGGATGTGCTATATTTTCTCCATTGCTAAGCAACTCTTCTTTCTCTCTCCACAGTCAGCACATCCATTGCTGTTTTGACTGACATGTAGTATATCACATTCACCTACCAGATCACTATACTCCATGGCATTATGTGCCCTTTAATAATATTAGTTGCATACGTATCAGCCATCTTTCTGAGAAAGACAGAAAGGACTTTTCTTTTTAAGACATTACACTTCTGCAATGACTTGGTTTGCACATAACTATGGACTAAATAATCCATAGAAGGTTGCAGCTGCATAACAACTGCCTTGCTTCCCACCTACACACTAGTTCTGCCTTGCACCACCTTTCATAAACAATCCAGTCTGCCCTTGAATTGTTTTATGTGACATGTGAATCTGGAATGCTAGGTGAGGAACGTCCAACCTCAAGTTTAACCCAAGCCTTATTGTGCGGTTAAAACTCTGAATCATTTGAAACTTAGCAATTCATAGTTCTGGCTTTGGATACTGGATTGAACAACCTAGCAACAGGCCCTTCATGAGATGTGTAGCAAAGCAGATGAAGAGTGGAAGTTATGAGCACATGGGTGGCAGTGCTCTTGCTCACTCTAGTGAAGCTCTGCCAAATCATGGATTAAACAACCTATGAATTGGCATTGCGTGAAAATCAGGTCATAATGCAATAGCTGGAAACATGCAATTCTTTCTGTAGCTAGCAATCACTTACCTCATTGCAGGCTGGAATGTCATTGCACTTACTTTTGGCATCTACTGGATAGTACCTGTGCCATTACCAATGATGGAAGACCCCACACACTTCACCCCTGTGTACCTGTGCAATGTAGTAATCCAACACTCTACTTGTAAGAGAAGACATGCACAAGAAGTAGAACTGACTGGCCCCAGCAGGGCAAACTGAGGAAATTAAAGAGTTTTGTTGTATTACAGAATGGATAGACATTTGCTGGTGCTTACTTGGGATTTGCAGATGGTCCAAGGTTGATGTTATCAGTTGGAGATAAAGGCTGAAGATGATAAAAAGCAGACAGCAGAAGTTAGCTAAGAATTAGCTACAACAGGATGAAGCAGCAGCCATACATATAAACGAACAAAAGAACTGCACGAGTGACTGGAAAGTTAGCACTTACACACCAACTGGGTTCATACATCTGAGGAGGGAAAAGACTCCACTGTGGTTTCACTGCCACACCTGTCAGGTACCATTTGTGTGCTGCTTTGTTTCCATCTTTCTCTGCACAGGACACAGGTTGCCATGTCATCCAATCTCAGCAGGTTTTGCTGCTTTGTTTTATGTTTCCATAGTGGTTTGGAAACCACCCGTGCTGTCTGCCCCCACATAGTTTGGACAACACTGCAACCTGTGCCCAACATGGGTCAGTTTTGGAAATGAGGAGATATCCAAACATTGTTTCCTTCCCTGGTCCAGCAATCAGTGAGGTTACACAACTTATGGACGTCTCCTTCCTGCTGCCACCCGTGAATGGCTAAGGAATGAAAGTCCACACATTTTCCTTCTCCAAATTGGAGCCCAACTAAGTGCATTTGTCCTAGGCCCTACCTGGCTGTTCTCCTCCGGGCTTTTGGAACGATCCATTAAGGAGCTGACTCTTTCTGCACTGTGAAAGAAAAGGTAACATTGAATTGAAAGCAATGAAAAGACTGAGATGTCGAGATGCCACCTCAGTGAGGAAAAACTTTAAGTCTACAGGCATTTAACAAAATGTGGGAGCTTTTAGCTGCTTTAGAGGAACAGATAAAACCTACAGAATCTGCTTATTAAATCTGCATTCTATCAAAACCAGCACTGAAATTTTGTTAATAGAAGCAGTTGTAACCCACCTCTCCTTTCCTTCTGCAAACTGGTAAGAAAATCTTAATTAACAAGATGATCTATTTCTTCCATCTAACAAACAGCAGCTAGAACTCTAAAAACACATGTGGTGCTATATTTGATACCAAAGTCCTGCTCTAGATCTCTTTCTGAAGGACCAAACATAGATAAAATGAAAAAGCATCAATTTTGGTCCCCCAAAGCTTAAAAAGCAGCCCTGGGAGCTAGAGAAATTAGATCAAGAGGGAGTCAGCTCTTCCCCACCTGCATCATTTTCGCAGTTGAAATCACCCCATGCTGCAATTAGCTCTCTGAATAAAAGCAAAGCAAAGCAAAACAAAACAGTTATTCATAATCTACTCCCTACCCCCAGTTCCGCTGAAGTTATTAGTAGACTAAAAGCACTTTGTAGCAAGGAAGATTAACTACATATTTCCTTTCTTCCACTGCTGATATTTGGTGGGTGATGGTGCATTCTGGCTTTTAGCTCATTTATACCTAGCAGAAAAGTTGCAAACCAAACATAGCTGTTTTAAATTTAAATTTCCTTTACTCTTCTTAGCAAGAAATTAAGGCTGTTTTGTGGTGACCAAGGCTGGCTCTGTCATTTTTTTCTACAGATCTACAGCCCTATAGAAATCTCATATTTTAACCCATTCCACCAAATAGAGAGCAGAGCTTCATCTGATTCAGAAACTTTAACTACATCTGCATAAGGAAAGGCTCTCATTAGAAGCAGAGTTGTGCAACAAAGCCATATTGAGCAACACATAGCAGTTTGTGCAAGACAGGCATGCTTCTCTCTGCGCCATGCCAGTGCCAGCCAGCTCAAATCTCTGCTTATAAGCTTGTAGGATGGTTCTCATCAGGCAGAGTTTTAAAGGGACAACAATCCATGAACGAAAAAGAGAGAGATACTCACTAGGAACACAGCTTGGAACTGGAGGCCTTGATAGTCTGTTCTAACCTCTCTCGCCCTTGTTTTATGAGATCTACAAGAAGGGGAGGGGAATTTAGCAAATGGAGCAAGCGGTTCAGCTGGTAGAGCAATCACAAGAAGCATACACAGAGACACATTTGTTCTGAAGTGACCTTGCCCTTCTCATACATCTACCCACCCATGTCAAAATAACCACACAGTAGTGGAGCTAGGGATACGCTCCATCCGGGAAGGGATTTCTAACCTTGTTCAGATAACAGCACAGAAGCAAGATTCTGGACCCAGCAAGAGCAATGTTTGGTAAACAACAGCCTCCAGTCTCCCTTCCCAAGGATGTTACCCAGAACTGTCCTGCTTCTCTGTGAGACACAGAGATCACAAGACAGAAGAACTACCCTTCGATACATCATACTTGGCAAGCGCTCAGTTCCTCTCATTCAAAGCTTTCCAAGCATTTTCTGAGCACGAACTGGAATGGTGCGTCACAGCGCAAGCGCTACCCTTCTTTCACAAAGTGGAGCAAATGATTTAGAGAGAAATGGTACAATCGGGGATGAGCTGGCTAGATTTGGCACTGCTGCAATAGGCATGTGTATTTTACTCATTTTATTATTTCTAGGCTACATTTCATGGCAAACCCCACAAAAGGAGGTTTGCATAGAAAATAGTATCAAGCTATGGATGGAATGGAGAAAAGTGTGTGTGTGTGTGTGTTTAATAAAGGAAAAAACCTCCTAAGCCAAGGGTACAGAAGCTCTTTCATCCAGAAGGCTGAAAGATTAGGGCAAAGGCAAAAAGGGTAAAGGCAAAATATGAAACAATGTCAGCATATTTTAGCTTAGAACTAAACCTTAGGAGGAGAATTCCAGTCTTGTAGAATGGGGCGGGGGGGGGGGGGGGGGGGGGGGGAGGGGAAGATGCACAAAAGTCAGGAAATCATACAGGGGGAGGGTCTTCTGGGAAACCCCAGAAAGTCTAAGCTGGGATCCTTGGGGACCAGATTGGGATCATGGATCTGAGATTTGCATCCCTGTTCTAAGCAGTGATGAAGCTGAGAAAGATACATATATAGACAGACAGTGCAAGGCTACTTCTCATTCCTGGCTATATCTTACAATTTAATAACACTTGAGTCTCCAATACTAATTCATTTGATAGTTTTATACCCTGCCTTTTCCTCCAAGGAGCCCAAGGTGTTTTCTGTGATCCTCATCCTTTCCCTCTTATCTTCAAAATAATCATTTGAGGTAGGTTATACTAAGAATCAGTGAAGGGCTCAAAGTCAGCCAGTGAGCATCCTAGTCAAGTGAGGTCTTGAACATGGGTCCCCCATGTCCCAGTTCAACACTCTAACCACTGTACCACACTGACTCTTAAAGACAGGCACACTTTCTTGGGTGAAATCCCAAGACAACAGGGCAGGACCACACACGTTATGTAACTAATGAAATGGAGTAGATACAGTCTACAAGACTGATCACTTTGATGGAAACAGGTGCAGTTAGGCTAAGCAAACAGACTTCTTCCTCCACGGTGTAACCCCAACCTTCCACTCCTTGTTCAGAATGCTGGATCAGGGCCAGGACCACAAAGAAGGAAAGAAGAAAATCATTCCTGCTATTGCAGAAAAACAAAACAGGCTTTTAAAAATCCCACCCTACCTGTACATACCTATACAATGAAACATGAAGAATAACCTGAAAAACAACTTGAATGATTTCTTTTAAAGACATTTTCCACCACCCCATGGTATAACCTCCACGTTTGTTATTTAGAATCCTGAGCAGAAGCTTCTTTGAGTCACTCCTTCTCTCATGGATGGGAAGCCTTTTCTCTAATCTGAGAAAGTTCTCATGGGGGCGCATTCCATCTGTGGGTGGAGCCAAAGACAAAATAGTTGAGCCCAAAACGTTGCTATCACTGATTTTAAGTCCACACAGAAGTAAACAGGAGAGGTCTTCTGCTTGTCTACTCAGAAGGGAACAGGGGTAAATCACTCAGTAGTACTTTCCCAAATGCCAAAGATCCTCATGTGTACTCACAAGTAATCAGGGCAAGCCTCAGAAGTAAGGAGGACTGAATCATGTAGTGCTTCCATCTCAGGCTCTACTCCCTCTCCCCTTCAGGAAAAAGCCTTCCCCAGTTCTTCTACAAAGAGGTCTCGTCATCATCCAATGGTAAGATTTTTGAGACAGAAGCTAACATGACACATGGTGGAGGGCAGGGAAAAAACCTGGTATTTAGATAAGTGGATCAAATCATTGTTTAGATAACATCTGTAAGTCCCATTTTTTCCAATAAGATGCATGATGTTGCACCAACAATCCAAATCAAGTTTGGCTTATTGTAAAAATCCCTTCCTGCAGTCAAACCCTCCACTGCAATATTTGCATGGACTTTCAGTTTGTCTCCAAGAGGCTACCAGCAAAGCTTCTCAGAATCTATTAAAGTGGCTATGGATTCTGTTTAAGCCCATGCTTTGTACTATCCTTGTAAGGCCTGATCTCATGAGCAACATGTAAGGTGTAGGAAGTATATCAGCAAACTTGGACTGAAAGTAGTTGTGCTATGGCAACCTCCATCTCACCCCCAAGAACACAGAATGATCGCACAAGGTTCTAGACCATCATTCCATTTCCATGAGTGCCCTGGCAGCTCAGCTATAACTCCTCCCATGTGTTCCCCAGGCACTGATATACTACCACTAATCATGGGGGCTCAATTGGGCTTGTCATGAAAAATATCTACTGATAGATCTACCATGAAATTAGAAAGGGAGCAAGGACATTCTTCCAAATTGGAGTACAATGATAGTGAATGAAGATGGGTCCCAAGTTCATTTGTTTATTCATTCGTTCATTCATTGATTCAAAGAGATGTTCCTGAGAATTCACATTTACTGCCACATTGGGTGGATTCACACAATATGACAAGCCACCCTACCCCTTGTGGGTAACAGCTCCCCTTCCTCCTCCTCCCTGGATTCTCCCACAGGTATCCCAGGGAGCGTCACTGAAGGGCCAAGTTTCCCTCACAGCAAACCATGGCTTGTTTACCATCAACAGAGGCAATGGCTTGCTGTTGGGCAGCAAACTGTAACTTGCTCACCTTTTTAAAAAAATTCTCAGCTTGATTCAGACAAGAATCTCACAGACTAAGAACAGCTTGTACTCAGTCCTTGAGTGTGGGTTATCATCTTGCCCCAACACAGTCATTGAGTCAGATCCCTATTCATATCAGACTTACAATAAGCACATCAGAATAGATGGGACTTAAGCAGAACTTGTCTAGATCAGCCCATAGACTGCTAGGTACAATTATATGAACAAAGAGGTTTCAAGTCAGGGTTTATTTTAAAAGTTTCAAGTACATCTGATATAGCAATCATGTTTCATGGAAGTGCTTTTATCAGAGGCAAGGAAAGGAAAAAATGCCATGCCATAAAATGTTCCCCTGTCAACCTTGCTTGTCTCATCTGAAGGCTGCATCAACAGCAACCATCCAGAAAGGGAAGAGGAGGCACAAGCTGTCCCTTATCAGGAACATGGTGTAGTGAAAAGTGGCTGATCTGAATTCTTACAGATTCTAGTGCAGTGACAGCACCAATACAATTTCCACAGTTCAGTTGAGCATCAATGTGCACCAGGGATATGCAAACAAAAGCAACCATTTAGTTTTTTGTTATTAAAAGGTAAAGGTATCCCCTTAATGTTACGTCCAGTCATGCCTGACTCTAGGGGGGGTGCTCATCTCCGTTTCCTAGCCGATGGAGCCAGCATTTGTCCGCAGACAGTCTCTGTGGTCATGTGGCCGGCATGACTAAACACCGAAGTGCACGGAATGCTGTTACCTGCCCACCGAAGTGGTAACTTTTAATCTACTTGCATATGCATGCTTTCGAACTATTAAAAGTTCATTAATTTTGTTGTTAATTTCATTTGCTTTCTCATAAATTATCACAACTAAAAGTAATGCATCCATTTAATTGCAATACCTTTATTAGACAAAATTAAAGGTCACTGAAACTCTGCAAACTTTCAGGATCTCCAGATTTCTTTATCAAGAAACATGCAAGTAGAGATTAAATAAAAAGAGAAAAGGGTTATTTGGTGTTGAATTCATGAGATCTGTATGCTTAGAGTCTTAAGGGGATTGGAGGAGGAAGAGTTACAGACATTCAAACTGAGCTCTATCAGGTGATACGGAGATTTCAGTGCCCCTAGGACGCCGGGAGATCAGAAAGTATCAAACAATCGTTAATCTTGAAAAATATAAAATCCACATGTTAACTTAGAACTGCCACCATCCTGATAAACCATACAAGTTTCCTGACTGGTGGCAAACAGACATAGAAATAACTATAGTTTTATATTAACAAAACTGGATAGAATGTAAGATACTGTACTAGAAACAATAAATTCAATAGAAGCTGAGCTAGGTGGTTTTATCTAGTAGTTAGAGGAGATGAACCCTTAACGGATAAAGTTCCCAGCCTCAGTTGGTATAAAAATAAGTAATGTGTCCCCAAGATCAACTTCAGTACCTGAGGACTGGAGAATGACCAAGGTAACATTAATCTTTAAAAAGGGATCCATGGGTCATCCAGACCAATTAGCTTAACATCGTTCTGGACTTGAGTGTATTATTAAAGTAACAAGTAGTCATCTACAAAGGCAAGCCTGTTGAAAAAGAATCCACATGACTTCTACAAAGGTAAGTCCTGTCTCATTAATCTTTTCAAGCGTCTGAAAAGCCTTAATAAGCTTGTGGACTGCAGTGACTAGACAGACATTGCTTACTTGGGCTTCTGACAAAGTCCCTCGTCAAACATGCCCAAGTAAATTTAGCAGCTCTGTAATAAGAAAAGGGTCATCTTATGGATCAGCAACTGCTTAAGGAACAGAAAGCCTAGGGTAGAAATAAATGGTAACTTTTCTCAAGGGAAGAATGTCAAAAGGGTGTCCCACATGGATATGTATTGGAATTGGGATCAGTACTTTCCAGCTTATTCAAAAGTATCCAAAATTAGGGGCAAAGAGTGGAATGGCTAAGTTTGTGGGATGTACCAAATTGTTTAGGGTGGTTCAGCAGAAAGTGACTGGGAAGAGTTTCCAAGGGATCTCTCCATAAGGAAGTACTTCTTCATATAAGTACCCAACTACACTATGAAATTTACTTCCACAAGGTTAAATGATGGTGACCAATCTAGACAGCTTTAAAAGTGGATTGGACAAATTCTTGGAGGGTAAGCTTGTCAATGCTGGGACAGCTTCCCTATGTACAGGAGC